AAATGCTTTAGGATTAATTCCATCCCCAAGTAACTATAAGTCCTACCTTTACCAAACTTGTGAGGGATGGACCCTATCATTATGCCCCAGATGCTGGATCTGACCTAGACATTTTCCAGATGAGCTAAAAGGTTATATTAGTTTTTTCGAGCAAATCCATTCCCAAGTAACTAAGATTAAAAGCTACCTGGACCAAATTTGCATGGATGATGCATTTAAGGATAAAAGGATGAACATTACAAGATATGCATCAGATGCTGGATCTGACTACATTTTCCAAATGACAGATTAGGGTATTGTTGTTGGAGTAGCTGCATTGCATGGGTGATACAAAACCAGACTTTTTTAAGATGCTGGATCTGACCTACATTTTCCAGATGAATTACTAGGTTAAAAGTCCATTCCAAAGTAACTAGATGTCCTATTTAAATCAAACTTGCCATTCCAAAGTAACTAGATGTCCTATTTAAATCAAACTTGCATAGATATTGATCTCAATATGCACACTAGCTTGAAAAAAAAATGGTCTGAGATATGCTTTTACTTATTGATAACATTTGTCAAGAAGAGTTTCATAATCTTTGACTACCTATGTTAACTTGCAGATTCATAGAAGTGAAATTTTAGAACTGTTTAATAAAGGCTAAATAAATCAAACACCATGGATTGTGTAAAATTTTGAGAATACCGAACATGAAATGTAGTTCTGTATTTAACATTTTAAAGGAGATGGGTGAACTTAGCGTGCAAAAAACCCACAAGCTTCAGATATATAAAAATCATATTCAAATTGTGATTTTAGTATTTAGAGTAAAGTTCTCATCATTGATTTTTGTAAAATCATGATAAAATAAAAGTTTTGAGGAAAATTTTTCGCTAAAATTTATTCTTTTATAAAGAAAAATAATGTGGTATCCACTGGGTTCGAACCCTGGCAATAAAAATCCTGAGTTGCATTCTTTATTGAGACTAGCACGCTAACCACTACAATACACAAGTCCTGATGAAGTGTGGCATTTAAATCATGTTTGTGATATGACCATTGACTTAAGGGACTTCAAGTTTTTCTCGAAAAGATACGAAAGTTATGTCATAAACTTAAATTTTTAAGGTACAGTGGGTCATTGCTACATAATTTTGGAAACCAAATATGTATGTTTTTATGCAAACTTTGAGGATTACCTTTCAAAAAAATGGAGAGAAGACCCACTCATAACGAAAAATAGTGTTATAGTGTGAAAAAATTACTTGTTTTTCCTCTTTCGTGTGTTTATAATATTTCACAGGCAAATAACTTCAATTTTCATGAGATTTGTGCAAGTTGTAGAGACTTTACATAAAGTATACTTTAATGTTAGATGAAATATTAAGGAAAATTTTGATATAATTAAGATTTAATTTGTCACCTTCATGTTTGTCGTGCTATGGGCTTATCTCTCGTCATGTTCACCCATCTCCTTTTTTAAAAAAAAAATACAGTCATTTTAGATACATCTTTTTACATGATAAAGCAGCTGGCCCATTGAGATCCATCAACTGTGTCAAACTATGGCCTAAGACATATCCATGTATATACTCTGTGTTTTACCACATGCATTATTTACAATGTAGGTCAGAAATTTCTACCAGAATATAAATTTTAGCACAAGTGAAATATGACTGGTAGAAAAGGTCAATTATACTTTTACAGTTTAGGCTGATGATTTTCAATTAAATGGCTTTATAAATAGGGCAGCTTGAGTATTGGGTTATATAGTGAAAAGATGGAATTACAGAAGGTTAGTGATAATGAAGAAAAATTGTAGTCTTTGACATGAAGGCAAAAATATTGTCTTGGTGCAAGTGACAGATTCTTGAAGTCATGTTTTATGTAATTTTCTCTTAAATCATTAAAAGGAAAGTAGAGATGTTCCAAGGAGCACAAAGATGTTCATCTGTTGTTATGTACAATTCTCCCACCTACGTGAATTTACTTCCATTCTTTAAAACTGGTTAATTGCGAGATGCCTTATTTGATGGTCGTTATGAAGATTACACTTTCAAACATCTTCAAAACAACAAAGAAAGGAGCTCAGTTTTTATGCAAGAGAAAGGCAATGATTTTAAAAGTTATTCAGTACAATATTCTTTGGGCTTTTGCATTCAATTTATGATGTCGCGTAATAGTTTCTACTTCAGGGTAAATTGATCTTTATTGGTTCTGCAGGTTGTTTTCTTGATTTAACAAGAAAGTAATCATTATGATGAAGTACTATGGGTTTCAGATTTTTTAAAGCACTAACCAGTAGAAAATTTAAATTAGGCAATCTATACTCATATTTTTGTTCCCCGGTTTTGCGAAAGCGAGGATACATTAAATCTCATTCACCTGTCAGTCTCTGTCCCTCTGTCACAAAAATCTTTAACCTTGGTCATATCTTTTGAATGACTTTTATATTTCACATGTACCTAACCTCTGACAAGACCTTTTCAAACAAACTATGATTTTTTACCCTGTGACTTTGACCTTCAAGATTTACCAACTTTTCAAAAATTTAAACATTACTCTTAATTGGTTGTAACTTTTGAAAGAGAAGAGGTAGGGCTTTCAAACTACACATGTGCATTCCCGGTGACAAGGTCTTTTTAAATACACTACATGTATGAATTTTAACCCTGTGACTTTGACCTTGAAGTTTGATCTACTTTTCTAAAATGTTATCTTTCCTTATAACTTTTGATAGAGAAGAGATATGGCTGTCATATGTGATGTGAACTTTGCCTGTAACAAGATGTTTTCAAGCAAGCTAAAAAAATTTACCTTGACCTTCATGTTTGACCTAATTTTCAAAAATTTTAAATTTTGGTGATTACTTTTGTATGACAAATGATCAGGCATACATATTTGATACAATATACATAAATACATGTAATGGCATCCCATCCAATAAGACACAGAAATTTGGGGACAACAATTCTTTGAATTTTCTTGTTAATCCTATGATATATCCCTCTTATTGACTTCAGCTTCTTCCTTTTTAGAGCAGGTTTTTTTTCTCAGTTAACTGTAAGTCTTGAATTCCTGGATTAAACATTAATAGATTATTTTTAAGTGGAGGTCCATTCTCAAGTGTGAATCCAAATGATGAGCAAAAATAGCCCTCACTAGCATTTAGTGGAAGATGAGCTGCATTGCCCTTGGGCCTGTTGTTTATATGTTTGTGAAGATGCCATTGGGCTTAATATCTCATTAGAGAGAGAGATACATATGAAGAAAGGAATAACAACTTACATATAAAGGTTAATGTAAGAGTGGTGTAGATGACTGATTTATCGACTGATCTGTCTATGGGGATGAGATCATATCACGTAATGTACTGCTGGTGATGGCAGGTTTAATCTCTTATGTGATATTGTGCACACAGCTGTCATACGACAGGTTTCTGGTACATACTGAAATATCTGTATATATAAAATATAAGCATACAATTTATGCATATATTGCAATATTTTTTTAAACAAAGTGTGTTTGTTGTATATAAAGATACAATTGAGTGGTGCAAAAATGAGAAATTGGATTTTATTTGGGGAATAGAATTTAGAATTTCTGCATGGACCATCCAATACTATATGCTCTCATTCTGAATGTATAACTTTTATATAAGATTTGAAAATGGTGTTTCTACAGATGCTTATTACTGCAGTTATATTATTCTCACTGTGGTTTAATAGCCATTGGGATTTTATTTTTAGCTCTACTGGTCAGAGACCAGAAGAGCTTATGCGATAGTAATGCGTCCGTCGTCCGTCCGTCTGTCTGTCTGTAAACAATTTTTCAAAATGCTACTCCTCCTACAGTTTTGCTTTCAATATAACTTGGCACACAAGTAGACTACACTAAGATACAAAATTCTGTGCATCGGTTTTTGATTTCGATGAACGGTGTTGCCGTGGTTACTAAAAATAGAAATTTCTGTGAAATTCTTTCAAAATGCTACTCCTCCTACAGTTTTGGTCTGACTTCAATATAACTTGGCACACAAGTAGACTACACTAAGATACAAAATTCTGTGCATCGGTTTTTGAATGAACGGTGTTGCCGTGGTTACTAAAAATAGAAATTTCTGTGAAATTTTAAAAAAAAATGCTACTCCTCCTAATTTTGATATAACTTGGAAAACAGGTAGACTACACTAAGATACATAATTCTGTGCATCGGGGTTTTTGATTTCAATGAACGGTGTTACCATGGTTACTAAAAATAGAAATTTCTGTGAAATTCTTTCAAATTCTACTCCTCCTGCAGTTTTGGTCCGATTTCAGTATAACTTGGCACACAAGTAGACTATACTAAGATACATAATTCTGTGCATTGATTTTTATTTTGATGAGTGGCAAGGATCATTTTTCTATTTATTGCTGATTTAAAGTCTCAAGTCCCAACTGCTACGTTTCTCTTCCTTTGTTTTAAGTATAAATCAGTAGAGCTACAGTCTCAACAGAGACTTCTGGTTTATTTACATCCCCTCTCATACTCTTTAATTCTTTCTAGTTTTTAAAGTTGTTTGTGCTTTGAAAATTAAAGTCTCTTAATATATATTCATTTGGTGAATGTCCTACCAAGCTCAACCTTTTCAAGTTCAATTTCCTTAAATTTTCATTAAATGCTTAGCTAGCTTATTTATTTTAAAATAATTCATTTCACACTTGGATATTTTCTATTCTAGATCAGCAATATAAATATATATGCTACATTTAATCAGGGACCTATATACTTATAACGTATACAGGTCCCTGCTTTCATAGTTAGATTTAATCATTCACATAAAAAATTTTATGCAGCCTTCGACTATAGTAACCAAAAAATTGAAATATTTCTGAATAAAAATACCATTTACTTCAACACATTGGGCCTAAACTAAGGATTTATCAAACACACAAAAAGTAACTGTGGCTTAGAAAACAATGAATAATTAATTTTGTACAAATCCATTCAGTATAACTTTTTATTTTTTGTTTAGACCACATGACAGGACGCTGGATGACTTGGAGATCATCTATGAGGAGTTACTTCACATTAAGGCCTTGTCTCATCTCTCCACAAGTGTCAAGCGGGAGCTAGCGAGTGTACTTGTCTTCGAGTCCCACGCCAAGGCAGGAACTGTGTGTATGTATTTACAGTTGGTTAAAAAAAAATGATTGTCAAGTAAAAAATGGAAAAATATTAAACTTAATTCCCAGCTCTCTGGGTGCCCTAGAGTGATCAGACTGTCTGCCTGTCTGTCCTAGCTCTCTTGTACAGAGCAAATCTTTTCTCTCCTTGGCCCAATCTGGCTCAGACCTCACCCACAGAGTGTCTTTGGGTAAAGGTTGTGTAGTGATCGTGAACCATGTTTCTAGGTCAAAGGTTAAGGACATAGCAGAATTATATGAAAAATCCTTTTCAGGAGCATGTCTCCTCTTCACTTTGTCCAATGTGGCTCATACATCTCTCACAGAGTGCCACTGGTCAATGGGTATGCAGTGCTTGAACAAAAATTTAGGTAAAGGGTGAAGGTAAAAAACAGCCTCTCTGTTCATATTCTTGTCTTGAGCATATTTTTTTTCTCTCCTTGGCCCAATCTGGCTCATACTTCACCCACAGAGTGTCTTTGGGTAAAAGATGTATGCTGTAACCTTGAACCATGTTTCTAGGTCAAAGGTTAAGGAAAATCCTTGTCTGGAGAATATTTTCTCTTCCCTTAGTCCAATGTGGCTCATACTTTACTCACAGAGTGCCACTGGTCAATGGATATGCCATGACCTTGAACAAAAATCTAGGTCAAGAGTTAAGGTAAAAAATAGCCTCTCTGTTCAAATTCTTATCTGGAGCATATCTTTTCTCTCCTTGACCCAATGTGGCTCACGCTTCACTGATAGAGTGTCGTTGGGTAAAGGGGTGTATGCAGTTACCTTGAACCATGTTTCTAGGTCAAAGGTGTGTAACAGAGTGATAGCATATCTTCTCCTCCTTAGTCCAATGTGGCTGATACTGCACTCAGTATGTCTATTGGTAAAGGGTGTGCTGTGACCTTGACCCAAGTTTCTAGGTCATATGTTATATTATAGCAGAATTATATGAAAAATTTTTGTCTGGAGCATATCTTTTTTCCCTTTGATCCAATGTGGTTCATTATAACTTCACGCACAGTATGCCATTGGTCAATGGATGTGCTGAGTGACCTTAAATGAAGATTGTAGGTCAAGGTTCAAGGTCAAACCCTTTTCAGCTTCCTTACATTTTCGTGTTCATTGCTAAAAGTGGAGCCCTTTAAGATGGCTACCATCTAGTTTATCTAGTTTATTTTTGTTTTCCAAAGCTTCATCAATGGATATTTATGTGTATAATGAAGATATTTCTTATTTAAAAATTGCAAACAAAACTTTTTTTAGTAGACACAAAGATCTGAATGCTAAGATTTTTTCTCTTTCTTATACATCTATCAGGTTATTGATTTCTCTTATTTGATAGATGTATGTATCAAAATATTTATGAGTAGTAACATCTACTAACAGAGTGAAATCAGTTTGGTGCTCTTTACAGCTGTCAATAATTTTTTCATTTGAACTTTCAGTGTTTAACCAGGGAGATGAAGGAAAATCTTGGTACATCATTCTGAAGGGCTCGGTCAATGTTGTTATATATGGCAAGGTCTGTATTGATTCATCACTGTAAGTTTAAATCAAGAAAAGTAACTCTAAAAGTGACAGCAATGTATTAAATTCTTGCAAAATAAAAAAAAAATATCAATGCAGAATCTTTTGCAGAAAGTCACAATATATCAAAAAACTTTCTCGTCCTAGTATTAAGTGTTCATGCCTGTGATAAGACTATTATTAAGCATTTCATTAGTTCACACAGAGGATAGCTTGAACTTGAAGACATTAATTTTTATGTTATATTTTAGGGAGCTGTTTGTACCCTCCATGAAGGCGATGATTTTGGGAAGCTGGCTTTACTGAATGATGCTCCTAGGTAGTGTTTACTTACTCTACTTAAGTGTTTACTTACTCTACTTTAGTGTTTACTTACTCTACTTTAGTGTTTACTTACTCTACTTTAGTGTTTACTTACGCTACTTTAGTGTTTACTTACTCTACTTTAGTGTTTACTTATGCTACTTTAGTGTTTACTTACGCTACTTTGTCATTATAACCTCACATGTTTTATAAATACCTGTCATAATTTTATTTCGAAAATTGTATAGCATCATTGCAAACATCTTTTAAACTGTGAAACAGTAGATCTAAAAAAGAATATAATAAAAGCAGGTGATTTGAATTATCCTTGAATCTGTCATATTACGTGTACCAGCATCTCTCTCTACCTTACAGGGCAGCCACCATTGTGTTGAGAGAAGACAACTGTCATTTTCTCAGAGTGGATAAAGAGGATTTTAACAGGATATTAAGGGTAAAATGATGTTCAAACAGATAAAAACATTGTAGAAAAGTTATTCAAATTTAGAAGTCAAGTAGAAAATAATGAAAAAAGATACAGATATTGGGTACAGTCTGTAGTATAAATGAAAATAGAATGAAATGTATTTGATTTGGAAACAAATATTCTGGCAAACCTAATTTTGATAGAAAGTTGGTATCTTAAATATTCTTTCAGGATGTAGAGGCAAATACTGTGAGATTAAAGGAACATGGCCAAGATGTCTTGGTTCTTGAAAAGATTCCTACAAAATCACAAGCAGCAGATGGAACTATGCAATCACACTACAAGTAAGAAACAAAGGTTTATATCATTATGCTGTTTCACTTAGTAATGTGCCCTTGGACATTCCTCCATGACCTGGGATGTTTTTGGTTTCCCCTGTAGCAAAAGTATTATATAACTTTTTTATTAACTTTATATTGAAAAATGTGACTTTTTGAACCCAGGGCCAATTTCAAAGAGAATTATTAATTTGGCACACAAGACTAGTGCTCTTTACCAATTGTACTCCAGAACAAATACTGATATAACCTTATGCCATCTCTGAATCACACAAAGAGAAGTCATTTGACTAATATGGTTTATTTCAGGTATTCAGTTATGGCAGGTACTCCAGAGAAGATGCTGGAACACCTACTGGAAACCAGACTGGACAACACAAAGTCTGAGGAAACCACAGGTCAGGCTCTGTAATGATTGGTTTAAGCTACAGACTGATACCTTAAATTTCATTGTAATTAACTGTTTGTTAAGTGTATTTAATGAATTTCATGAATTTTCAGACAGCTTCCTGGAGGACTTTCTTTTAACACATGTGATATTCATGCCAACAGAAAAACTGTGTCCAGCATTGCTTTCATAGTATCCTTTTTATTATTCTGTCAGAAATTATTGTGGATATGCTCTAAGTAAAAGGTTTTCTAAATTTCAGTTTGATGTATGGTTTCAAGAACTTTATTTTCCCACCCACCATGTTTTAAATTACAAAAAAACATACAAGTATACATTCCCCATACATTAGTTTTCCCTTACATTGTAATCAAGTTATGATGCCAAGTCTCTAAAGACAGAAGAACAAGATGCAGGGGACTATGGGGTGACCCAGAAAAGGAGTGTCATACAATTTGTACACGAGTGGCACAATCTGGCCAAGGACATTTTTAATGAAGATGAGCAGATCCAGGCCTTCCTACAGGTAGGACTTCTGTCAGTAGGTCTTTCATCATTAAATGATAAAAGCAGGATCAGGTAGGACTTCTGAGAGTAGCTCTGTCATCATTGAATCAGTGATAAAAGCAGGATCAGGTAGGACTTCTTAGAGTAGGTCTGTTATCATTGAATCATTGATTCAGTGATTAGAGCAGGATCAGGTAGGACTTCTGAGAGTAGAACTGTCATCATTGAATCAGTGATTAGAGCAGGATCAGGTAGGACTTCTGAGAGTAGGTCTGTCATCATTGAATCAGTGATTAGAGCAGGATCAGGTAGGACTTCTGAGAGTAGGTCTGTCATCATTGAATCAGTGATTAGAGCAGGATCAGGTAGGACTTCTGAGAGTAGGTCTGTCATCATTGAATCAGTGATAAAAGCAGGATCAGGTAGGACTTCTGAGAGTAGGTCTGTCATCATTGAATCAGTGATAAAAGCAGGATCAGGTAGGACTTCTGAGAGTAGGTCTGTCATCATTGAATCAGTGATAAAAGCAGGATCAGGTAGGACTTCTGAGAGTAGATCTGTCATCATTGAATCAGTGATTAGAGCAGGATCAGGTAGGACTTCTGAGAGTAGGTCCGTCATCATTGAATCAGTGATTAGAGCAGGATCAGGTAGGACTTCTGAGAGTAGGTCTGTCATCATTGAATCAGTGATTAGAGCAGGATCATGTAGGACTTCTGTGAGTATGTCTGTCATCATTGAATCAGTGATTAGAGCAGGATCAGGTAGGACTTCTGAGAGTAGGTCTGTCATCATTGAATCAGTGATAAAAGCAGGATCAGGTAGGACTTCTGAGAGTAGGTCTGTCATCATTGAATCAGTGATAAAAGCAGGATCAGGTAGGACTTCTGAGAGTAGATCTGTCATCATTGAATCAGTGACTAGAGCAGGATCAGGCCTTTCTACAGGTAGGACTTCTGTCAGTAAGTGTAGACCTGTTATTGTTGATGGGCTTGAAAAAATGGTCAGAAACCACTTTATAACAGAGATGGATTTGTATAGTGAAATTACCCTGCCTAATATTCCTTTATGTATGGAGTAAATATGACATAGCACAGTTAGATTTACTGTTCAAAGAAGAAATCCTAATAATCTTTCACATTTGATTTTATATACCCGGTAATGGTTTCTTCAAGTTCTTTAAGAATTTAATATCTTTGTTGTTTATTGTGCCTTTTGACGAAAAATGTGAGTTTCCTTCCATTTTATTTATTCTGTTGGTCTTTTGTAGGAATTACACAGTTATGTGGATGAAGACTGTGCTTGTTTTCCATCCCTGGCTTCAGAACTAACAGTATTGGAGAGCATGATGACATGTATGAAGGGGTAAGTGTCCCTATCACAGATTGATATCTATAAGATACGCAACAGAGTAATGGACTGGAAATCATTTCTGCTTCTTACATTCTTTGTTATGCTAAATATCATTACAAGATTAAAATCCATATTGTTGCTTTTACTTATTCATTACTTCTTTTATCGGTGTCTCATTTTATTTTTTCAGTTATCAGTATATAGAAAAGCCTGAAGTAGGCAAACGAAGAATTTCTCCCAGTGTAATGCTAACAAAGAAGATGGCCAATGAATTATATATAGACAGCATCAACAAGAAAGAACCAATCAAGGCCACAGATGAAAGTTAGTGGATGTTGCATATTTTAAAATGAAACAGTAGTATGAGATCCTGTATATTTGATAGGATAACTGTTTTATACAGTTTCTATAAATTTAATTGCAGTGCAGTTTTATTAAGGTTTGATTCAAGGATAACGATTTATACACAACAGATTCAATGCATACAAACTTGATAAATTTATGTTTGAGCTTTTTTCTGGTAGTGTTTTAAATTGTCCAGCTTTATATATGTTATATGTACTGGGTTATTTATTCGTAGATATAGTCAAGATCTATTGTGCTGACCACACATACAGCACGCTACGTCTACCAATGAACTCCTCCGTGTACACACTGATAGAGCACGCTCGGGAAAAACTCGGACTGGGCTCAGATGACCTAGTTCTTTGCGAGATAAAGTCCTCGGGAGGTAACAAATTTATATTACAAACTAAAACTGGGTAAAGAGGGTGTTAGTGAAATGAATGATTTTTAAATATACAGTCACACCTTATTATCTGAAATGCAAAAGGACTTAAGTATAAGTTTGAGACATCTAGGATTTCATGATATTAAGGTTAAAATACCTTTAAGAAAAACTGGCTCAAACTCACTGCAACAGATCTATAATATTCAAGATACTGATAATCTAGTTACTGCACTTGAGTAATAGTTTTAGTACTGAGTTAGGATTCCAATACTGATCCTTAGTACAAGTAATACATACTTTATTGCAGAGATTTAAGTGTGTGTATCTTTTTATGTATTTGTAGATAGGGTTGTCTATAAAGAAGAAGACCTCTGTGTTACAACAGGTCTGAGTCTAAATGGTCTCTTATTCATCTCTCCAAGAAAACACCTGGATGCTTTAGTAAGTACATTGATGTACATAGAATTTTTAATTGTTTATTATGCTTACTGTCAAATACAAGCTCAATACTGTTAGATATTAACAAAAATATAAATGAAAATAATTATTTTGGAAGATTCTATAGTATAATTAATTTTTCAGTAATGTATAATTTCAAAGTTATTTTTTCGATCAAGGTAAAACAAGTTTAAGGAACACTCCTAGCTCCATCCAGAAGTATGTACTTATTCTTAGGCTATATCCATAAAGGGCTGCAGTGTGGCAACGCACTTTGAAAAAAAAATTTCAAAGTGCGTTAAAATTGGGACAAAATCAACGCACTTTGGAAAAATTTTTCAAAGTGCGTTAAATTTGGGACACACTCAACGCACTTTGAAAATTTTTTTCAAAGTGCGTAAAGAGTGTACATAAACATTTTTTACCATGGGGACATTTAATGCACTTTGAAAAAATATGTATAAAATATTCTAGACTTAAATTTTAGTAATTAAGAGAATCAATTTGTAATAATTATATCTGTGAAAAACTTTTTGTGTACATATACTCACATTGAGAACAAGGAGAAGACAAGTAGAAGGTCTATCAGCCCAACTCTTTTTTTTTCTTATACATTGTACATTGCCGTCTGTAGCAAATTGAAAGTGGACTCCATCCCCCAAGGTAAGTTCCTATTTTCAATGCCTATATATTATGTATATCTTTGCAAAACATCTGTGTGCCTAAGCCCCCCTCCTGGTACTGATGCCTATGCTACACCCAAATACATGTATATGTATTTACATAACTGGTATGACGTTTAAAACTTTCAATAAGTTTTAGTTCACATAAAATGCATGCAAACTGAAAAAAATTAAGCACAGTAAAATATTTAAGAAAGAAAGAATTTTAAAGTATGAAAATATCAAAATCTCTCACTTTCATATCCTTAAGTGACTTCATCACTGAAGAGTTATCAAACAGGTTCAATTATTTATCATACATGTACCTAAGAATTGCAAGAATATTGGCCAAGCCATACCCCTTTTTTTTTCAAAGTGCGTTAATATGGTCGATCTTAACGCACTTTGAAAAGAAATTTTATTTTTTCAAAGTGCGTAATTTTTCAAAGTGCGTTGTAACACTGCAGTGATTTGAACCACTGTGGATAAATGGAAAAAGAACTTGACCATTGTCAGAGACTATAAATACAGATTATTGATTAATATTGATATGAGAGTTATCTTCCTTTGTTACAGACTCCCCACCCTGAACAGGAAGGACCATCCATAGGCACTGCCAACACCCTGGAACTTCTCAGCACAAAGGAAATAGCATATCACATGACATTACATGACTGGCAACTGTTTATATGTGTACAAGAAGTAAGAATCTCAAACATTGTACAGTTTAATTTTCTGGAGTAGTTCCTTTTTCAAGTAGCTGTAGATTCTACCTGGACCAAACTCATGTAGATGTTTATAATAGAGATGAACATTACCAGACCATTTGATTCAGTCTTATCTATAGATAACTTTTGTCAAATTTAGCTTTGTCATCTTTGATTACCAATGCTTTAGTACATGTTTAAGTTTTTTTAAGGTTGTGACAAAACTTTTTTGTTATTTTCAGTATGAATTAATATATCAAGTATTAGGAAGATCCAACTTTAACAAAATTACGGCAAATTTAGATCTGTTTTTACGTCGATTCAATGAAGTGCAATACTGGGTAGTAACAGAAATGGTTCTCGCTCAAAATGTGGGAAAACGAGTCCAGCTTCTGCGCAAATTTATCAAAGTTGCAGCACAGTATGTTTTTGTCTATTTACAACTTTTTGAATACAAACCGATTTCAATGAAAGAATTCTTGGTTTAATTCAAAAGATAATTTTCAAACAGCAGAGATTAATTTCAGCTGTTTTCATATTTCAAAAAAGTAATGAAGTACATATCTGTAAATATATAATGACAATACCTGTATAGGTGGATATATATGCTTCTCTGTTTCAGCTGTAAAGAATTCCAGAACTTACATTCATTCTTTGCCATAGTAATGGGACTTAGTAATATTGCTGTTAGCAGGCTGTCACAGACATGGGAGGTAACTCTTTTTAAGTTGTGTGCAAGTAAAATTAATTGTCTATTAAATCACTGATAAACATCAAAATAATTGCATAACAAAATCTATAGAACTTTCAAAATATGTGGTAAAAAATCTTAACTAAATCTGAAAAAAATGGGATACATCAGTTTTCGAAATTAATTACAATAAAAATAGAAATGGTATACTCAAGCAACTCTTGTAACTACAGTGAATTTTAGCTCATATCTTTTGCAATTTTTCTTACTTGAAGAGAGAAGTTAATTAAATTCTATTTTTATAATAACATTTCAGAAACTGCCAGGGAAGTTTAAGAAGATGTTTGCTGACTTTGAGACCTTGATGGACCCCTCCAGAAATCACCGTGTATATAGACTGTCTGTCTCCAAGCTTACCCCACCCATCATTCCATTCATGCCATTACTAATGAAAGGTTTCACATTTTACTGAAAGTGTTCAAAAGCAAAATAATATATTATTGTACTCAGATCCTCAGCCAGGAAAGATAACTCTTAGATTTATAATTTAATTCAAAAAGTCTAGATGAAGTTTGAAAATTAAATCTTTTCATACAACAATTCATTTTTTGTGTTTTTGACATGATTATCATGTTACTGAGAATTCACATAGTAAGGTACTGACACGTCATTTCTCTTGACTAGTCTTATAAAAACTTAGTTAAAATGTTTCCATTGTAGATTTGACATTTACCCATGATGGCAACAAAACCTATTTTGATGGATTGGTCAATTTTGAGAAAATGGTAGCAAAAAATATTTTTTCAGTCTTTCAAGAAACACTATCCCTGAAAAGCTCAAAGTTGCATACTTCAAGATTGAATTCATTCCTTGTATTAATTATCAATTAAATTATTCTTTAGATTGTCAACAGAAGATTCTATTGAATTCAATAGTTTATATTTACTAAAGCTTTGTCATTTTTACTTTCAGCACATGATAGCTCAAACAATGAGGAATGTACGTATTTGTCGAAGTCGAAGATTAGGTATGTTATTTACTCTGTTTGACATATATGAACAAATTAAATTGGGAGGAATCTGAACAGCTAGCTCAATTTTTGTCAAAACGACCTCCATTAAGATTTAATATATATAGGACACTTACCCAAAGGAAAACTAGATAATTTCAGATGAACCTAATAATTACCTTTATATTATGTACAATTTAAGGACATTACTACAAAGGGGAGTGTTAAAATGTAGGCTTTGTGTATTTACCATAACGTGAATATTTATCAGGAGACATTGTTTAACACTGAAAGTCTTCTTGATCTTATGCAGTTTTGTATAGGATAAAACTTTTACCTTGAATTTAGACTTATGCTTACTGGCCTAGAGATATCACCCTTTTATAAGTACTTGACTTTTGACAGAATAGGATTACTAGTTTCACAGCTTTGTTCTGTTATTGTTTTGTTACCTTTGAAATGAGGCTCGACATGTGTACAAATTGTCCAATGTAAGACTATGTTTTTTACAAACATGACCAACACATAATCTTGCACTTTGACCACAGATGTAAGACTTGTAATATTTGGTATGTGGATAGATAAATAAAAGGGTATCACTCACAAATAATCCTGACCTTTGACCTTGCTAGCTTGCAAAAGAGTTTTACTTGAACTATTACCCCCCGCAAAGGTATTACTAGTTTGTTTGGCCCAGAAGGCTTCATTATTTTTTACAGAGGGACTTTGAGTTTACTCCACACTAAGATTGCTCATAACAGGGTGTGTCATGACCTTGACCCAAGGTCATTTGGGGAAGTTCAAGGTCACTGGAAGAAAAATTTCATATGTCCATATTTTTCTTATGGATAAACTTGGTAGGTTCTAATTTCACACAAAGATTGCCCATGACCCAAGGGTGTGTCATGACCTTGACCCAAGGTCATTTGGGGAAGTTCAAGGTCACAGGAAGAAAAATTTCATAATTTGTGTCCGGTCCATATCTTTCTTATTGATAAACTTGGTAGGTTTTCATTTCACATAAAGATTGCCCATGACCCAAGGGTGTGTGTTAAAAGGTCATTTGGAGAAGTTCAAGGTCACTGGTAGAAAAATTTAAATCCATATCTTTCTTAAGGATAAACTTGGTAGGTTTTCATTTCACACAAAAGATGAGGGTGTGTCATGACCTTGACCCAAGGTCATGTGGGGAAGTTCAAGGTCACTGGAAGGTTTTTCATAATTTGTGTCCGGTCCATATCAGTTTGATCAGTTTTCAAAGGCATAGGGTGTGTCAAGTCAAGGTCATTTGGGGAAGTTCAAGGTCATGTGAAAAATTTTTTAATTTGTGTGATCATCTTTATTATGCAAAAACTTACTTCTGAAAAACCCAGCGGGGGGTATTTTGTCCCGATTGGACAGTTCTAGTTTAATTATACAGTTTTCAGTTTTGGCATATGGGAGTCTCAGTAGAGGATGTGTTATCATTAGTATCAGTATTAAAATGGAATTTTATACTACAGTGTGTAGGAAAAAGTGGGGAAAACTTTTCCAATTGCTAAACAAGTAACATTTTTGTTAATGATGTATTCATACCTGACACTAAACAGAATGCTATGCTATAGTTAACTTTTAATGATATTTCAGATCTTGAGCCCCCTACAACAGCCAAGTCGTCCACAGAGGTTCAGGATTACATCAGGTCAGGGTTTAATTCAAAGTCATTTTAGCATGATCCATAGAACAGTAATACAAAGATTTATTTGATATTTAATATGTTTTGTGTTTATATTTTCAGAAATTTGCAAGTTATAGACAATCAACGAGTTTTAACTCAACTTTCTTATAAACTGGAGCCTAGACGAACGTGAAGGAATGCTCACAACAATAGAAAACAAAACTGAAGTGCAATTCTATCTCATGATACATACTCAAGAAAAGCAACTTAAGTGAAATCCACATATTATTATAAAGCGTTAATCAAGTTTGATCTTTAAGTATTATTTTTACCCGGTTTCTAATGTTGTGCAAACCAGAGTGCTATAAAAATGTAAATATTTAAAAATATTTTTCATATTGAATGTATAACTGATTAAGTGTCCTGACAATCAAATAAATCTATTTTCTACTCATGAAAATCAAATTATTTTTTAGAGGTTAATGAGAAGCTTCCAGTATTGACACAGGTTTATTATGGTGTTTATATGGGCTTAAAGCTGCATGGGTTTCATTTTGCTTATTTTTTCCATTAGCACCAATCATGGTTCAATGAATGTACAAATTCCTGCATGTCTTCAAAATAAGCAATAATACTGTAAATGTATTTTATTTGGCGTGTATGATATTTGGCGGGAATTGATTTTTAAACAAGTAAGCATAGATTTGAATTAGTGCTTTCTGAATGTGCTTTGTATAAATATATGAAACCAAAACATTTAGCATTGTACTTGATTTGCGGATGATGCTTTCCGCGAAAGGCACTAAATAGAATACAAAGCCATATGTAATACGTTTACAATAAATGTTACACATGAAAATGAGACACTGTTTTTTGAAATTCTCTAGATTGTTCTATGCATACAGTAAAACTCGTTTATAATGAAGTTACTGGTACCTATGAAATAACTTCGCTATATCTGTAATTCATAAAATCCATATAAGGAATTCGTTAAATATATATAACTGGGGATCCTAGATAACTATGCCTTGATTTTTTAATCAAATACAGCGCAAATACCTTATTATATCTAACCACCAACATCATCGTTGGAAAACCCACGGGTGATCTCGTCTTTTCTTTACTTATCACCCGGTGATAAGTAAAGACGAGATCACCCGTGGGTTTCCAACGATGCACCAACATGTGTCCTGTGACTTAATTCTGGCCTTGCGCATGCGTCAAAATTAAATTCCAATTAGCTTGGCTTTGTGTCACATGGGACTAATGTGAAGTAATTTAATGTGCAGTAGATTAATTCGAATGAAACTAATATGCATTAAATTCTCTGTGTGAAAGCAATTTAAATTTTATTCGCAGTAATTTACGTTTAATTCGAATTAAACTCTCCCTGTGAACAGGGCATTAGTGTTGGTGCTGCAATTTTTAAAAGTTTTAGAACCAAGTCCATACCTAGAAATCTATATGCTCTGTTGGAACTTAACTTGCATGGCTGATGAATTTCGGAATACATTCTACCAGACATGATTTGGATGCTTGATCTGACCTACATATTTTGTATGAGTGACGTGGTAAAAGTTTTAGAACCTAGTCCATTCCAAGTTCTATAGTGACAATACTTGCATGGATGATGCATCCTTGGATGTGCACTATCAGATACTGGAAATGATCTACATTTTAGAAATGAGTGACTGGGTTAAAAGTCCATTTTCAAGCCATTTTAAGCCTTAAGTTGAAGTCTTTAGTAAGTATTTTCTAAATCTATGTCAATAACAGTGTTTTTCTGTTCACTAATATGCATACTTCACCATCGATTTGTTTCTTCGAGAGGTATGACAGGTACCCTTGTTGAAAATAAACTTGATAAACTCTATATAATGCACCTTTACACTTTAATCAAAGTCCACAAAATATTTTTCATAGATTGTGAAGGATTATTCTGAAGTTTATTTGTACTCCCATCAATTGAAAGGTTTTGTTACCTGGTAATAACTGAATTTTTCTTTGTTGGGAGAAAATTTTCCTGTATACAGTATTAAGTTGAGATTTTCATTTAAGAAGGATGCTTAAGACAATTTTTAAGGACTGTGTCTATCTAATTTCATTGTTCAAGGTCACTGCTATTACCTCAAACTCTTAAAAGTGCCTGCTGTAAACTTTGGAAATTTTTAATCTTTTTTTCAAAAACAGTGATCACTAGATATTTTCTGCTGCAATTTATTAATTTACCAACCACTTATGTTCAGTATTTAATGTTACTAAGTTTTTCAAAAGTACAATGTATCAGTCTTGCCTGTTTATGTAAGATCATATCGCTCAAAGACCACAAGGGGACTTTTGTCTGATTTGGTAATTCTAAATGCCCTTCAATATAGTTATACATGGTAGTATATTGTTGCAGACTGAAAAAATAGACTTCGGGTAGATAAATCATTTTGTATGGTAATTGTTGACCAATATTTATTAGTTAATTGCTTTGTGTATTTCAATGATTCCGATTCTTGCATATTTTGAAGAATTATAAAGTTTTTGATCTCTGCACTTGAAAATGTTCCTTGACAGTTTATATATAAGAGTTATCTTTGACAGTTTAACATTATCTACAGAATCAGTCCTAAATATAGAAAATCCCATTGCTTTTCTAATGTTGATATCAGTTGTCTCTTAACTGAAAATGCTCCATTTTGTTTTCATAAGCCTTCAGACTCCAGTTCACATCGAAACTTGTACATATCATAACTTTGTCAATTAATCTTAAGCACGAAATAGTTTGATTTGTAATTGTATTTTCTAGACGATAAATTTCTTTCATATCTGTTAACCAAGGTAATAAACAGATATATTTGAAAACAAAAACAGAATTGTTTGTCTAAAGTGTTATTCTTTATATACAGTAACTGTAGAATCATCACCATTGCTACAGGACAAATGTTTACAGATTTTGTGGGCCATCCTCTTCCACAAATGTCAAATAATCTATTTATTGAATCTTCTCAAAATAAGAGTTCCACATGAAATCCAGTAGAAGTTTGGTTGATTGACCATGATTATTCACCTATCATAAAATGATTCTGCAGTAAACAAAATTCCTTAAGATGCAATATACTGTAAACCAACTTTTATTTGTGAACTTCTTTATTTCTATTTAGAAAAATACCAATAGACAACTCGAGTTCAATTGGACAACAAAATGGTTTGCTTATGACCCCCAATTATAATAGCAGAACATTTTACAGAGATATATTTTGAGAATTTAATATTGTGATATATATTAAATTTCATCCAATATTATATAAGAATGGACTTAGGTGTAGGTCGATATGTAGTTATAAGGACTCAGAGCAAGTGATATTGGCCTTAGGCACAGAAAGTGATAGCGACTGAGCCTGCAGGTCTCCATCATTTTCTGTGTCTGAGGTTAATATCACTTGCCTCAATTCAAATCAAAGTACTGAAAGTACTGATAGACGGAGGCTTGGAATGAACATGATTTGTTGTCTCTTTGGGAATTTTTTATTCATATTCTGACCCCAACATTTGCCTAAAGGTAGTTGGCCATATCTTTTGAACATTAGATACCAGGACATTTATACTTCATATTTGTATTTTTGTGGAAAGACCTTTCATTAGATATTAACAAGCTTGACCTTTTGACCTTGACCTACGAGATTCCATACTTATGAAAAAACTTTAACCTTGGCCATAAGTTTTGAATGGTAAGGGATAAATAGTGCTTTTTATACGTATATATGTAATCCTTGTAAGAAGACCCAGAACTTTGACCTTTTGACCTTGGAGTTTGACCTACTTTTATAAAGCAAATTTTGACCATAACTTGAAAAGGTTTTGGGTTAGTGCTTTCATACTTTATAAATTTAATCCTTATGACAAGACCTTTCATTTTATAGCAAGACATTTGACTTTGGAGTTTGGCGTACTTTTAAAAAAATATCATTTTTCATAACTTTTGAAGGGTTAGGGCTTCATACTTCACATATGTATTCTTTGTGGGAAGACCTTTCATAGCATACCAACAATCATGACCTTTTGACCTTTACCATGGAGATTTCCGTACTTATGGATTAACTTTAGCCTTAGCCTACTTTCATATTTCACAATTGTATTTCTAGTAAGAATACCATACTTTTGGTACCAATATATTAAATTTGCATCTTCGCTATATTGCCACACGGGGGGCCAGAGTGTTTCACAAATACATCTTCTTCATTTATTTATCGTGGTCTAATGTTTAATTATGTAATTTACTGAATTCCCATTTTTCATCAAAAGGACAAACCATTCTAATTGCAACAAGAGGCCCAGGGGCCACAGCGCTCACCTGAGCACATTGGGCTTGAATTTATCCCCCCCCTCCAGGCGTTCATCATTTGAACAAATTAGAATCTACACTACCTGAGGATGATTCCAATTCATAGCTTTGAAGTACTTGAAAAGAAGATTTTAAAAGGTTTCCCTATATATCCCTATGTAAAACAAGGGTCGGCCATTTTGGCCCCACCCTAGCCCCGGGGGTCATGGTTTGAACAAACTTGAATCTACACTACCTGAGGATGATTCCACATGAGTTTCATCTTTCCTGGCCCAGTGGTTCTGGAGAAGAAGATTTTTAAAGATTTTTCCTATATATTACTATGTAAAACAAGGGTCGGCCATTTTGGCCCCACCCTTGCCCCAGGGGTCATGATTTGAACAAACTTGAATCTACACTACCTGAGGATGATTCCACATGAGTTTCATCTTTCCTGGCCCAGTGGTTCTCGAGAAGAAGATTTCAAAATATTTTTCCTATATATTCCTATGTAATACAAGGGTCGGCCATTTTGGCCCCACCCTTGCCCCAAGGGTCATGATTTGAACAAACTTGAATCTACACTACCTGAGGATGATTCCACTTGAGTTTCATTTTTCCTGGCCCAGTGGTTCTGGAGAAGAAGATTTTTAAATATTTTTCCTATATATTCCTATGTAAAACAAGGGTCGGCCATTTTGGCCCCACCCTTGTCCCGGGGGTCATGATTTGAACAAACTTGAATCTACACTACCTGAGGATGATTCCACATGAGTTTCATCTTTCCTGGCCCAGTGGTTCTCGAGAAGAAGATTTTTAAAGATTTTTCCTATATATTACAGTACTATGTAAAACAAGGGTCGGCCATTTTGGCCCCACCCTTGCCCCAGGGGTCATGATTTGAACAAACTTGAATCTACACTACCTGAGGATGATTCCACATGAGTTTCATCTTTCCTGGCCCAGTGGTTCTCGAGAAGAAGATTTCAAAATATTTTTCCTATATATTCCTATGTAAAACAAGGGTCGGCCATTTTGGCCCCACCCTTGCCCCAGGGGTCATGATTTGAACAAACTTGAATCTACACTACCTGAGGATGATTCCACTTGAGTTTCATTTTTCCTGGCCCAGTGGTTCTGGAGAAGAAGATTTTTAAATATTTTTCCTATATATTCCTATGTAAAACAAGGGTCGGCCATTTTGGCCCCGCCCTTGTCCCGGGGGTCATGATTTGAACAAACTTGAATTTACACTACCTGAGGATGATTCCACATGAGTTTCATCTTTCCTGGCCCAGTGGTTCTGGAGAAGAAGATTTTTAAAGATTTTTCCTATATATTCCTATGTAAAACTAAGGTCGGCCATTTTGGCCCCGCCCTTGCCCCGGGGGTGATGATATGAACAAACTTGAATCTACACTACCTGAGGATGATTCCACATGAGTTTCATCTTTCCTTGCCCAGTGGTTCTGGAGAAGAAGATTTTTAAAGATTTTTCCTATATATTCCTATGTAAAACTTGGGTCGGCCATTTTGGCCCCACCCTTGCCCTGGGGGTCATGATTTGAACAAACTTGAATCTACACTACCTGAGGATGCTTCCACATGAGTTTCATCTTTCCTGGCCCAGCGGTTCTGGAGAAGAAGATTTTTTAAAAATGCCATTAATTTTTAACAAATTCATGATTATCTCCCCTTGGAAAAGGGCGTGGCCCTTCATTTGAACAAACTTGAATCCCCTACACCCAAGGATACTCTGTGCCAAGTTTGGTTGAAA